GCTGGCTCCAGCTCTGAGGCCCGGCTGGCTGAAAGCAGCTATCTGGGTTTGTTTAGCTTCTATAATTGAAACATTGTTGCCATCACTGCTGCTCTAAGCTTTGAGGCCGAAGCTGGCTGAAAGCAGGTATCTGGAGCTTGTTTAGCTTCTATAATTGCAACGTTGTTGTTTAAGGTGTAGCTTAGAGCAGGGCGAGGCAGGCGGGGAACGTTGGCTTCTTCCGTCACTGGAGCAAGCAAGCCTCATGTTCGCTTCAGCTGCGTGGCTGCCGGCCGCCATCTTGGTTGGCAGTTAATTTGCATATCCTGCGGATTAGCCAATGGGAAGCGTAGCAGAGGTATGGTTAATTACCATGTTTGTCTATTATTAGATAGGACTAGAGGCCCGATGTATGAAATTCATGCAAGAGTAGGTCTTCCTTCCCCCGGCTGCCGGCACCAGATTCCCTCTGGCACCTGGGACCCTGGCTTCCCTTCAGCCACCAGCAGGCACCCAGAACTCAGGCTTTGCTCCGTCTGCCAGAAGGCACCCGGGACCCGGACTTCCCTCCGGCAGCTGGCAGGCACCCGGGACCTGGGCTTACCTCCGGCTGCCGGCAGGCACCCGGGACCCGGACTTCCCTCCCGCCCCAGCTTTGTTTGGAAGGACATCTGGTCTAATTAGCATATTACCTTTTTATTATTATAGATTATTTCACCTATGGCCATGGAGCTATTTCAGGAACTGGAACAAAAGATGTCCCTATAGCTCTTATTGCTCAGGAAATTCCAAGGGTTTTAGGAGCTCTGTTCCTGGAGCAGGGATAAAGACCAAATATATATTTCTTATTATCAATCACAACATCATACTCACCCTACTCAATGACAGATTAATATATCAATCTGAGTATCTCAAAGGCAAAAAATTTCTAAATTTTCCTCCCAATCTTGGTTGTTTTCCAGTGTTGCCTTTGTGAGTGAATGGTACCACAATCTATATTTGGACTAATTAGGTAACCTGGGGATATGATCATTTTAATTTTAAATATTTTATAATCTCACTTTCTCTACAATATAATTTTCAAAAAGATAAAATCATGACTCACATGTCAATATAAAATGAACACCTGTCAGAGTTTATTCAACTTATTGGCTAATAAGAGAATGAATATGCTGTTAAGGCTGATTCAGACAGCATTTACAGGAGCTATATACTTATAAAGGAATAGATATAAGATTGCTGACCTGAATACAAAACTGGTTAATGTACTGCAGGCTAATAATCTGTAACCTTTGGGGTTATCTTTTCTCCTGGACAGAAATTATTTGCATTTCCACTGGATAAAAAATATAAGTTCAAATAATTTCACTAAATCTATATCTTAACAGTAAACAGTGAGTTCAGTAAAGTCCATTTCCGTATATAATCCTTGGATGGACTTTTGCCTCCATATGAAATTGAAAGGTTGTGCTATACTTCTTTCCCTTCCTCTCACGTTTCTGTAAATTTTTTTTTAATACTTTCTAATCCAAGCTACACCCATCTCTGGATTGCTGTATTAGTAATTTAAATGTACCCATTCTAACCCCCCTAACTCTTCATTAATATCAGAGTAGTATTGATTTTAGTCTTTATGTTTTTTAATTGTGAAATATAATGTATGTAATGTATAAACTTAATATGCACAATTCAATAATAATAGAATGGACTTCTAAGTATCCACCATTCAGCAAAAAATAGAACATTATTCCTACATTAGAAAACTCCATGTACCCCTTCATAATCATATCCTCTCATATTTAGAGACATTAATGTTGCTTATTTTAAAAAAGTAGTTTATATATAGATATATATGCTTAGATAATATATTGTTTTTGAACTTAAGAACTTACATGCATATATGTATAACTCATGGACACAGACAATAGTGCGGTGAAGGCCTGGAGTAGGGTGGGAGCAGGGTGGCGGGTTCCATGGCAGTGGGGTGGAAGGGACATCTGTAATACTTTCAACAATACCAGTAAAGATAAATTTTAAAAAAAGAATAAAATCATTTATATGTTATCTATCTGTAATTCACTTTTTAAACTCAATACATATAGATTTGTGTTCATCCTTGTTGGTACACGTGGTAGTAATTTTTATTTTTTTAATCCTCACCCAAGGATATGTTTTGAGAGAGTGGAAGAGAGACAGAGACATCGATATGAGAGAGAAACATTGATCGGTTGCCTCCATACACACTCATACACAAAAACGTTAATGTGCTTGCCATAGTCATGTTGTAGCCACATTGGCTTTAAACAAATCAAGGTAAGTTTGACACACACAAAATTCACTTTCCCCCTCCTTTTTAGTTATTAGAAAAGTTAAAAGAACGTTGGCTCTCTACTGGTTTATGGCATAATCTGGAGTTGGTGAAGACCGTCATTGTAGAACCACAGGGAGGAGAAAAAACTGATTTTGATGAGTTACTACAGGTGTACTATGATGCGATCAAGTGCAAAGGAGAGAAAGGTAATTGGAAATAATTGGGTGACCAATGAAAAAATATTTTTTACTGTAAAGTAAGAAGTTGGCGCTGTTAGAACATTATTTGTGTTATCTTTTTTAAATGCATTTAAAGGAAGAATTATATGTTATACTCCTGAGTGAAAAGAAATTCTTTATTTGGAGTTATTCTGTGAATGTTTTCAATTGGGGAAACATTCAGTTATTATTCCATAGTCATCCCTACACTACCCACAATGTGTTGTGGAAAAAGGCAGGTAGAGCAGGCCTACAGATCTTCCTTACTAGCCAAATGAGCCCCACATTTTGATGCAAATAATATACTTTGTGTTTATATTCTATTACATAAGGTAAACTTGAGTTTTCAAAACATAAGCGAAGACTGAATATGAAAGTTAGAGAATGCCCATAATTTATGGACAATGCAAGATCATAAAGATACTATAACATACTTGTCATTATCCTTGTATGATGAGTATTCTGTGCGTGTTGTACATACTTTTTAATATTACATTGATTCAATATGATATACAAATTGAGAATTATTTAAATAGTTCTGAGAACTTTATATGCTTATGGTAATGGTAAGAGTTGCCATTTCAATTTCTAAAGATAAAACTATTGGTTCACAATTGCTCAGTTCACGTGCAAATTACTCCTCCGATGTGGTTTTACTGTGTGTTTCTCTGAGACACATAGTTTGTAAATTGGTTTGCTACCACATTGTACCTAAATGTAATTTTATTTTCCTCATTTATTTAAAGAGGAACTTTAAAACTTTATCTCATAAGAGATTTTAATTTTGATTTTTTTAAGTTTGTTACTATGATGACTTAATCGGAGCTTTTCAAAATGACAAGAAAAGGCAATTTCTGGGAATGTTGAGTGTGCTTTTGAAAATGTTTATTTTCTGTTGCTTAAGATGGAGCCCTCCTGGTAGCAGTTTGTCGTGGTAAAGTGAGTGAGGGTCTGGATTTCTCAGATGACAATGCCCGTGCTGTCATAACAATTGGAATTCCTTTTCCAAATGTGAAAGATCTTCAGGTAGGCCTTCAAAGTCTTAAGAAATTTTATCATAGAAGTTGTTGATTTTGTGTTAAGTTAACTATACATTTTTCTTGTATCTTCAGGTATTTTATTTTAATTTTATAGTGACTCAATGAGTGAGAAAGGTTTAGTAGATACCGGTTTATTTTATTTGTCTTTTCAAATTATAAGAGAAAGTTTATTTAGGAAGTTAGCGAGGTAGTAGAAATGAGCCAGCTGGGCTGTGTAGGCTCAGGAACCAAGTTACAGAAGCAAAAGGACCCTTGGAGCTTAGGAGAGAGAAGTAACTGGTGGTGGTGATGGGGTGGGGGAGGGG